AAAATGGCAACTAAAGGTTAATAGTGATAAAACTAAAGTCACACTTTTTACATAAAGTCGCATAAATAAATAAATAGCTTTTGGTCTTGCACTTTTATGCGTAAAAAGACATTAAATAAATAAATAAATGACCACACTCGTACACCATTTTCGACAGGCACTTGTAAGGACAGCAGGAACCATGACGACCAAGTGGTCCTTCGGGCGTCCCCGTTGCGTAGAAACGAAAACGGTGAGGGGGGGGTCGTCATGCATCAACATCAACAAACATTTAACAATATCTGGATACCTAGGTGAGTTTAGGAGAAACCTATTCACGTTATAGACAAAAAGAATACACACAAGTGAACCAGCGACGTTTGGATGTTTGCTAAACAGATGCTACCAACGCTAATTGAGTTTGTGTGGCGTTAGCCCGACGGTTAGCAGCCACAGAGCTCACAAGAGACTTTAAAAACACAAATGTCGTCAATGTTCGTGTCTGTGCGGTGCAGTTTCAGCTGGCACCATCTGTACATGTGAGGAGCTGAACGATGGCAAGCTAGTTGACGCTCATACTCGCTGTCAGCAGTAGCCGTCAGGTGCTAGCTCCCGATAGGAGCTCAGGTCATTGTTCAGGTGCTTTTAAATTCAGCTCGGCAAGCGTTGGTTTATACAATAATCTTAGTCAAAGCGGGGGGAAACAAAGGGGAAAATGGCTGGCGACGCTGGCAGCATCCCTGAACTGGACCAAAAGAAGTACGATGCAGACGAACAGGTGAAGATCATCTGTCTGGGAGACAGCGCAGTCGGTAAATCTAAGTGAGTATGAGCTGTAATGAACTGTCGTGTGTTTCATAATGTGTTTTATCTGCTGTGCTTGCGTTTACATGGGCTGTTTTTCTCTCTTTCACAGGCTGATGGAGAGGTTTCTCATGGACGAGTAGTATCCTTTAACAGATTTAGACATTTAAAGTAACACATCTGTATCAGGGGTTTGTTTGTACGTCGTGTTGTGTAATCCCACTACAGCCACTATGTGCACATGGACATCCTGCTTAAGGTCAAGCCCCAGTGCCTCCAACAAAGCAGGTCGTTTGTCCTGACAGGTTAAGATACTTAACTCTTTCTGCAGTCGTCCCCAGCAGTTGTCAACCTATGCTTTGACTCTCTACAAACACACAGCCACCGTAGGAAACAAAACAGTAGCGGTCGGTATGTATTGTGCACTTGCTTTTGTTCTGCTCTCAGTGACCACAGAAAATAATTATCACTGTGAAGCATAAATCAGCAGGCATGCCTTTTTTGATTTTGATTCACAGACTTCTGGGACACCGCGGGTCAGGAGAGATTTCAGAGCATGCATCCCTCTTATTACCACAAAGCACATGCATGCATCATGGTAAGACGCACTCTGGGTTTCTGCCTTTACGTAATCATTTAGCCAGCCCTTTCCTGAGATTATTAAGTATTCAGAAAAGTAAGGAATACATGGTTTCAGATTGATTACTTAAAGGCCCAAATCTGCACCATTAGATTCCACTAAATCCATAAAAAAAAAAGCCTTAAACTAAATATTAGTTTGATTTCACTTCGATCACTTGGCCCTGCTTTGTTCATTGTGCAGATGAAATGATGAAATATCACAATGCATTCTGGTTAAGATGCATCTCTCAAGTGTACATTTTGTTTGTTCCTTTGAACAGAAAAATGTAGTCATGTTTTGGTATTTGAAGACGAAGATGGCGATCCTCTCACGGAGCAGCGTTGCACCAGTTGAACTGGGGAGGTGCCACACACTCAGCAAAGAAGGCCAAACTCCACTGTAAACTTCTCTGCTTTCTCTTAGGTTTTTGATGTTCAGAGGAAGATTACATATAAGAATTTGGCCAACTGGTATAAGGAGCTGAGGGAGTACAGACCGGAGGTGCCCTGTTGTGTGGTTGCCAACAAAATCGATGGTGAGTCTGGCTCTGACACTGCACGTGACAGAGAATATTCAGGTCTTATGATTGTATTAAATGTGAACGTTACAGCAGGTTAAGTAGGTTATCCTTTTGATTAATTGTTGGATCAACAAAGCATGTTGAACATGTGAAGATGTTTTTTTTTTTTTCATGTGTGCAGCTGATTTGAAGGTGACACAGAGAAGCTTTAACTTTGGGAAGAAGCAAGGACTCCCATTTTACTTTGTATCAGCGGCTGATGGAACTAATGTAGTAAAGGTTTGACGTTTTATTTACTCTCCTGCAGTATTAATGCCAGTGATCCCTAGGTTCATTCCTTCATGCATTTCAAACTCATTAGTAGTTTTACAGTTAACTATATGTAATTTTACAAGACAGCCGTTCTCAAAATGAGAAGCTTAAGTATCAAATTAATTCAGCCTGTAATTTATTATAATCTCATAAACTGTCCAGACTACTTGAACCGACCCTGTGTGTTGATAGTTCTGACTGCAACTGTCACAACAGATGTTCAGAGAGATGATCAAGAGAGCAGTGGACTACAAGCAAAATCCCGGCGACTTCATGGATGAAGTGATGCAAGAATTGGAGGTACACCTCTCTGAATACCAAACCAAAGTTTGATCCCCTGTCGTGTTCCTCTTTGAAGCAGGTGTAGATTTAAATAATTCTAATTAAAGGAGGTTTGCTGCAAAGAATAAAAAAGTGTTTTATCATGCAATACTACATTGCTCTAAGAAACTCCATAATTGGTTTACAATGTGTTTTCCAAAGCTGTTTAATATGAATTATATCTCCAACACCATCAACTTTTCTTGTTCATGTGGAAAATGTGTGATCTAATTTTCTTTTCTTTTTTGCTAAATTGTTGAGTTTTGGACTGAAAACATGTTTGTATTGATTTGATATCGATATTTTTCGCACTTATCTTGTAGAACTTTGACCTGGAGAAGAAAGAAGATAATTCAGAAGCAGATGAGGACGGACTAAAAGCAGAGAGTCCCGACTTGGTCTGATAGATGTTTACAGATTCCCCAAACCCTCTTCTCGTCTCATGGATAATTTATCCTCCTCTGGGGTTGATGCTGTGAATAGATTATGTTATTACTCAAAATGCCAGAGATCTGTGATTCTCTGTGACGGACACCATCAACAGACACATTGTTTGTCCTTACATAATTTTGGTGGTCTGCTTTGTAACTCTACCACTGAAGGTTGGCAGACATTGTTTTAGTCAGGTTTTAAGTCACTGCCCTCCATCTGTCCAGTTGCATTTTGGCAGGGAAATAAACCTGGTGGGATAATTAGGAATTGTGTTGTTTACCAGGTTAATTTGTTTTAGCATTATCATTCATACATTGTTGAATAATATCTACTATAGTAATAGTAGAAAACCATACAATGATACTCAATGTTTGCTTATTTTGTGTCATGTAATAAGAATGTGAAGCATTGAAAACAAACTCACACAGAACAAGGAGAACGTGTGATTATGAACCATATTTGCTGCTGTTCTCAGTGTTTGTGTGTGGTGTTGTGTGCAGTGCCAATGGGGAGCTGCATCTATTGGCTGCTTTTGTTGCATTAATTTTATGACGTAAAAAGTCTGTTTTTCAGTGCCCTTTAAATGAAAATTTAATGGACCGTGTAACCAAAATTGTTACGTGTCTCTTTCTGACTTTCAGAAAAGAACTGAGTAGTCAACCTCAGCATATAAGATGCAGCTACCAGCCATGTACGAGTAGACATTAGCTGTATTGAACTCTTGTGAAATGCTCAGCCAGCTGTGTCCTTCATGATGGACTTGAGGTGGTTGTCTGTACATTCATTCATATTAACAGAACTGTTGAATGAAGAACTTTGAACCAGTTTTATTTTCTGGAGACCTATTGTTTTTGTTCTTTTTATTCTTTCTTTATTACTGTTCTCTGATGAAAGTGTTAATTAAGCAAAAACTTTACGACCAAAAGTCACCAGAATGCAAAGGGGGGTTGCACACACTACGCTGTAAGAATCAAGTTTACGTTTTTGCAATTATCTCAAATGCCTTGACTTAGAGTCAAAATTGTTTTGTCCTACTATTCAGTCAGTTAATCTACATATTTGCTCCAAAGCTCTTCTGTTGTAAAAATGTCAAATTTTGAGTTTTATCGAAAACTGTTTTTTGTCTTCGAGAACTCGTCAGAGGCTGTTGGGCCAATCGTCCCAAAACTGAGTCAGGATCATTTATGGACTTCGGGAAGGAAGGCCATTGTGAATTTAGTGATTTTTTTTTTGGTGCCATTTTTCATGTGTTGTACTACAACAAACTCCTACAGAAGTTATTGTATTGACTTGAAATTGAGTTAGTGCAGTCTATAGATCTTTGAGATGAAAAGTCAAAACATTCCTGTGTTTCACCAGGAAGTACAGGAAGCCCCAAATTTCACATTTGAAGTCCTGGCCTGAACACATATACATGCCAATATTCAGTCATAGTGCCACCTACTGGCAACAGGAAATGACATGTTTTAAACATTAATGTGCTCTTCCCAGAAGGTTGACCAGCTCCACCTGGTCTGAAGAGCTTTATGATCTGGATGATGCTATATTGTGAAGCTTGTGAGTTTTCGTTGTCTGTGGCGTTGCATTGAATTGAATGTTCAATGTCATAACCATGAAACAGATAGTTGTTGCAATTGGGGTTAACATTATCCAATCTGCACCAAACTTCATGTTTGATAAGAGTCCCGGCCTGAACACATCTACATGCCAATATTCGGTTACAGTTATAGCACCACCTACTGGCAACAGGTAGTAAACCTTATATAGCAATCATTATTTGATTTATGTGAACTCTGTGGTCTACACATGATTTGCTGGCACATAAAGCAACTGCAGCACATCCCGTCTCACGCAGAATGTGAGGGCCCATTCAGTGCTGTTTTGTGTTGCATTAACTCACAATAAATCACACAGGAACATAAGTTTACCACTGAGACACTGAATTAGCAGGAACAAGACTTTGATGCAGTTCATGTTTTAATTATAAATTTATTACATAATATAACAAACATATATCTCTGTGGTGGAGATATCCTGGGCAACATCTCAGATCTTGCCTCAATCTTCCCTGTCACCCTTACTCTGTTTGCATTATGAATACTAGGTAGCTTCTGGTTAACTTTTTATTTCTACTTGGGCTTTCATGTATTAAAATGAAGGTGGGGATTTGTAATGTCTCTAATACTTTAAAGCGTTCAGAAGTCGCTGGGAGATAGGTTGTAGATGATTTACCTGCTCACTGGATGTTGAGAAGGGGAAGTTCACCTGTGAGACAAGGCTGAGGTGTTGCAGTGATACATCCACCATTCTAAACTTCACAGTGCAAACAAGGAGAAAACCAACAATGAAAGAAAAACCCTTTGATGATAAGATCACTGGTTCCATTGGGTGACCAGACCCCAGTGGGCTTTTAAAAAGATTACACTGCTCCCTCTACTCTATGTAGATTGTGCTTTATTGATTAGAAAATAAGACAAAGATAAACCTTCACTGAACTTATTTGACCTAATGATGTGTAAGTGTGTTACACGTTGCTCTGTAGCATCATTTTGCATCTGTTTGTGGTAAACTTACACAACCATCTGGACCAGATATTCACTACAGCATTGTTTCTTCTAACCAGGCCAGCCTGTGTGAGACTATACATGTTCACCTCTCAAGTGAGAATAGTAGGCCAAGCTGGATAATAACCTTCATCACAGTAAAATCAAGCAATTGTGATACTTTGTCTCAAACTTTAAATAGAAATGTTAATGCAAAGCTCACAGGTAGATATACACAGGCTATATAAATATATATGTGTGTGTGTGTGTTACGTACACATACACATACACATACACATACACACACGTATGTATCAATAGCCTGCATCTTTACAAAATAATAATGACTGCATTTCCATCTGTAGGAAATACAGAAGGGTCTAACAAACATCTGTAGTTCTCAAGATTTCCAGGAGATGGCACCATATTATTGAGTCTAACAGCTCAAGAATGCTGTAACTAAGATAGTCCTAAAGCAAAGACAAATATACAGTTAAAAGTTAAGTTATTTTTTGGCACATTTTTCCTTTGTGTTGTTTGTTCCTCACTGGATCACCTCATATAGCATATCCAAAACTCAAAAACTGAAGGTCTGAAAAAGGAAAAAGGAGTGCTGCCAGACAGAGTGGAGCGTAAGGAGCGCAAATAGCATCTGGGAATGGGTTTACAAAACAGTGACACTGCATAAGCTGCACCTACACAGTTACAAGGTGAGATACAGCTGTCTTGCTTTATAAAACGTGACAATGGTTAATCTCTCTCTCTCGTCTGTCTCTCCCTCTTGGGCAGAACAGTCCACTTTCTGAAGACGCCACTTTGTACGAAACAAGAATGTAGAACAATGATCTGGAATAGAAGATGAATGTATGTGTGCATTTTTCTGTTTGTGTGTATATGTATTTTTTGTGTGCGTGTGTGCGCATGTGTGTGAGACACAGCCACTGCCGGGAATCTCTGATGGTAATACAGTAAGGCTATAGTGGACTAACTCCAAAGATGTAAACCCTAACAATCAACCATACACTCGCTCACGTGTATTCTCTTGGTCTCTCTCTCTCTCTCAAACAAATACACACAAACAATGCAAACAAACATTTGCACACATACACACACAGTCACACACACACGGTGAAGAGGAACGACCACACAGACAGATTCAGGGAATCCAGATGCACACATGCGCTTGGACGTTGGGTGGCTTTTATGTTAGCACCTTGTCACCTTGTTTTGTGCAAATCATCCCCTAGTTCATAGTTCAGAGTTCAAAAGTTCAAGAGTTCATAGAAAGAATAAAATCTGCTCACCTTTTTCACAGGTGGTTAACTATGCATATATGCCAAACATTCATATATAGATCTATATACTTTTTGTTTTTCCAAAAATTTATATGAAATCTATCATATATACATTGCTTGTGATTTTTAAAAAAAGCAAATATTCGTAGTTTGTTCATTTTTACAAGTGTAAGTACGTTTAGAATGGACAGGATATTTGTTTTTTTTTTCTGTCTTTTTTTCTGTCACTCTAAAATTCAAATGAGTGAACGATTTCAATGTTCCACACGCTACAAAATTTACCCACAGTGTCCGAGGGTAACAAATCAGCAACAAAAAACAAACAAAAAAGAATAGAAAACAATAAACACAAAAAAGTCCAAATGAGTCTGAAAACATACTGTAACACTGGAGTCAGAAATAAAATAATCAGTGAGGTCACAGTGAGGCAGTGAGTGCTATTCCTACAACCCAGACACAATGTTATATTCACCACCCGCTTTTACAAACTGTTAGCAAAAAAGAAAATAGAGAAAAAAAAGAAGAAGCACACCACTTCTCGCCAAGTGAAAGTGCCTTGGCGTACTGATGGGATGCTGCTGATGTACGGAGGTTTTTAGTGGTAATAGAGATTACCTGGACTTCTGTTAGAGAAAAGCTATGGATAAAATGCTTTTTGTTGCGTGAATAAAACTCACTGTTTCTCACTGCCAGCAGAAGCTACTCATGAGTACAATTGTAGATTTTGTATTGTTAAAGAAAAATTCAGTTGTTTTGTTTTACAACCTGGGTCTTATTCTTAGAGTTCTGGCTGCCACTGTTTATGATAATACTTTACTCACTAAGTAAACCGTAAAGATACAGGGAAGCAGCGATGTTGCAAGACACAGCCAAGTTGTAAAATACTGAATTTTCTTTAAGACCTTACAGAGGCTTTCCCATCCCCACAGCCTGATAAACTACGCACACATTACCCGCAGTGGCATTTCAGAAGGGCGGATACTTTATGTCTAGCTCATTTAAGCCCTTGTATGACAAGTTTTTGTTGGTTATACAGGTAAATCAGGGGGTCACAGGGATGGAAATTTTACTAGCCCTCTAGCATTTTTCAGACTGTAGTGGTGTTAAATTATCCACACAGGTAAGAATTTAAATAAATAGTATTGAAACAAGAGCCAACTACCTCTCCATGCTAGTGCCCCAAACTTCCATCCCTGAGTGATTAACAGGCAAAAGATGAGGTGAAAGAGCACCTTTTACCAATTAGCTGTCTCCTTAAGTGGTCTTTACTGTAGGTTGTGGATAAAGTCAGAACCACTTCAGTGAGATCTGTAGCTGAAGCAGTAGGGATGGGTGTCAACTGGGGTCTCAGCCTCACATTATGGGATGCCCTTTAGTATGAAGGAAGACCGTAAGAAAATAAAAACAAACAACAAACTCTCTGTCCAACACATGATGCAACTCGTCATGCTACGGTTCAAGAAAGGGTGACCATAAGGAAAGTTGTATAGCTATGACAAAAATTTCATTTCCATATCTATATACTTTTTTTTATTTCAAATATATATATATGTATATATGTATATAATTGGTAGAAATGAGTAAACTATTGGTGGAATAAATTTAAAGATTTCTCTCTGCCTTCTATACTAAAAACCAAAAACAGGCGCAGATTAATTTATTATATTTCCTCTTTGCAACATTGTCTTTTCTTCTGAAAGCTATATTTAGATACATATATATTATATTATATAATACCTATATATAATATTCCCTTTGGAAAACCAAAAAATTGATTATGAAAAAAGCCACGAGTGTTGGTTAAACATTCTCCAAATATAATAGATAGCACAGTCTGGGTACCAAGGCAGAGGGGTTTTCTCCTGTGGTTTACTTTGTGGAGCTCCACCTCTGGGATCTGAAGTCTTCGGTTTAAAAACAACAGCAGGTTTAGAGAAGACACACCTTTTCAGAGCTGTGTCAGTACTATGTCCATAGTCCTGTGTTCATCATTGTTGATCTCTGTATAAATATTTTGAAAGGCAACTGAGCTTTCTGTTTGAAAAGGAAAATTCTTCCTCCTCCTCCTTTACTCAAACTGCAAAAGGCTTTCAGAGGCCTAATAGATGGAGGGATAGAGGTAGAGAGGAGAGGAGGGAATAGTGAGAGAGAAAGTGTGGGTGTTACTAAGGGAACAACTGAAGCTTTCACAAATCAAATGTTTTAATTGGAGCTCATGCGATTCTCCTCGGCAAAGAAAGACCAGAGCCCATTTTGAGGTCTGATCTAATTGGCTGCAGGCAAGGAGGTGGGCAGACACTAAGGGCCAAGTAGAGGGGGACAAATGTATTGAATCCTCCTCTTCAGTGCAGTGCCAAGTGCAGGGTATTAATGCAGAACGGGAACGTAACGTGTCGCAGGTAAACCTTTATGATGCGGAACATAAAAACAGCTGGAGTAAAAGAGGAGCAGTTCTCATGTTTTCTCTTCCATCAACTCTATTATCTTGCCCATCTTTCTATCCAAGTGTTGCTGTGTCTAAGGGCAGGGGTCAGCTCTCTAGCAGCAGTTTTAGTGCTCGTTCAATGTTCATGCGGTGTCCAACTCGTGTCACTCCAAGCTCTGCAAAGTCATCCTTGGTTAGAGCTGGGAGGTGAGACCCTTCGATCTCATGTTCCTGAAACCCTGCTCTGTGCTCCCCCAAGTTGATGCTTTCCAGCCAGTCTCCAACATCGTACTTATTCCAGAGGTGGAGGGGCTTCTGGTGGAAGGGCCGGAGGGCTAAAAGTGGTGACCCCAGCCCAGGAGAATGCGAAGGTGACGGGGACGGGGAGCGAGAGCGGGAACGGGCGCTGGAGCTCCTCATCACAAAGCGGACCTCTTTAGGCTCCTGGGGTAGGCTGAGGCTAGAAGATTTGAGGATGGTTTGGGGCGGTGTAGTTGGTGAGGTCGGTAGGCCGAAGCTTGAGAATCGTCCAAGAGGGTCGCCCCGATCAGGTGAGCCTGAACCTGGGCTTGGGGTGCGTCGGGTGACGGGGTAACGACTGCCAGGGCGGATGGTGTATGTGGTGCCATAACTTCTCTGAGAAATGGTGTGGAGCTCGCCTAGGCTGCTGAAAAGTCTGGTGGAGACAGAGAGAGAGTTTCAGGAATGTTAACAGAAGGTTAAAGTGAACAATGTGAAAATACAGAAGAAGACAAGGAGACAAAGTTTTGGGTTATACAGTATTTATAAAGCTGCGTTAAGTTCTTGTAAAGTTAGTTTGGCTAGAGGTTAATGAATGTTAGACAGACCAAGGTAGTCTCACATCACATAATCATCAAAACAGGAAGCTGCACTTGCTGGATATGGGTTTCTGTGATTATTTACGGGTTTGTATAAAACTTGTGTTACTCATCATGAGACATCATGTGGGACTTGTATCAACATGTCAACTACATCAACTATACAAGGCAATACATGGCAGTATTTATAAGATAGCACTATTTTTACTGATACTCATCCAACTCTCAGTCCACCGGTTCATTACTTAAAGTCTTTTTCTCTAATGAATTTAATCAAAAGTTACTTCCTATTAAGGCTCGCTGTACACTTCCCTGAAGGGATTACTGTGACCCACAAACAGCAAAAGGTTAATAATTACATTAGAATTACAGTGTCAAACAGATTTGGTGTTTTACATTGAAACTGCTGATAGCACTAACCTGAAAGCACTGAATTACAAATACAGTACAAACATGCACACAGACACACACACACCCACATACCCACACACACACATTTACCTACATTTAGACACAGTAGGCAGATCTACAGAGTGAGTGGATTTCATATTTGGTTTTCAGCTTTTCTTTGCACATTAATTGTAAATCTAAAGAGTTTATTTTAATGACAAATAATTATAGCGTATAAAAAATAAAAAATTAAAGTGCTGTTAAAGGCCATGTGGGGATACACAAAGTAGCATATTTTTAATCAAATGAGTACTTATTTACCTCTGAAGTGCAGCTAACAATTAAACGCAGTAAGTCTATTATTTAGGGAATCTCAGTGGCCAACCAACCCCATCTTACCATCTGCAGAAGGAAACATGAATTGTACTAACACAAACTGCCAATAATTTCTTTAGATGTTGGAATCTGATACCGCAACAACAGTAACTCCAGTTTTTTCCACAGGTACAATAAATACTGGTCTAACTACCTTTTTACATCTGACCCTCTTTTTAAAAAACAAATAAAATGTTATTAGTATACTACTGATCTAATGGAGGAAACAATGGTCAGAAAGGAGAGGAGGGATGGATTAAAGATTAAGACTAACACAAGAGTTTTGTCTAGCTTTGTGCAAGCAGGGAGAAGCAGAAAGGAGAGGCCTAAATATGGTAAGAGTTGGTGCAATGGTGTCTGTTATATTCATGCATGTAAGCGAGTGTCTTATGTACAGGTGTGGCACATGTTTTCCCTCTACTGCATGTGTTTGGAAACTTCTGATATGGGTGAGATCAGGACTGTAGAGTGTAATGGAAACAAAAGGTAGCTAGGTAGCACACAGGCTGAAAAAATGATCAGACTATAAGGAGCCGACGGATATGAGATGAGCTCCATGCGCACTTACACAGTTGTCCTGCCCTCCTGGGCGCACAGTCAGTTCTAGACCAATCAGATCAGAGCAGCAGGGCGGAGCATGCAAGGTGAGCAGAGAGAGAGCAATGGGAGAGAATGTTAGCATCACTCCATGAGACGCAGCCTGCCAACCAGACTTAAAGTCTGCTTCAGCTGACTCTGCTGTCTTTGACATGCCTTATATATGTGTGCGGGTGTGTATATGTGGCTGTATGAGTATGGCTGTGAGTGCATGGACATGTATGTATGTGTGTGTGTGTGTGTGTGTGTGTATGTATGAGTGTGTGATGGTGTTATTGATCTATGCAAGTATGACAAAGACAGCCGAGTAGGCTTCAGCACTCGAAGGTCTGACCAGTGGGCTACATGAGAGAGAAATGAGCACACTATTCACATATCAAACACTGCACAAACAAAGAAAAACAAACAAATAAATGAACAAATAAAAGGTGGGCACATGTCCCTTGACTTGTGGTTGCTTTGGTACTCTTGAAATAAGTGGTTTAAAATAACTATAATTCCAGGTAGTGTGCTTGTATATTAAAGGGTTAGTTGATATTGTGGTGGCATGAAGTACTAATCTTTAGTCAGTGTCTTCCCTACTGTAGACAGCTCTCAGTACGCCCCCAGTTTGGAGAAGCAAACACGAGGACCAGCACAGAAGCTAAGCAGTGTACTGCTGTAGACAGGGGCTGCAGAAAAAAGTATTTTAGCCACATAAAAAAAGGCCACCTTAAAAAAAAATCTATATCAGTTTCAATGTACAATATATTTAAAATATTTTCACCGCTTTACCTTGCCATCAGATATCCCTTTCCGACGAAGTGAAGCCGTTATATCGCACTCTTGAAAGCCACCATACTCCTTTTAAATAGTAATTTTACCTCACAGAACAAGGGAGTTGCTGCTCTACTGCAGACTCAATCTGCAGAAACGTTAGTTAGTTTGGATCCGAATTAACCATTTAGAACACACACAGAAGTCAAACAATAAAACAAACCAATCGAGGCAGTGGTATAACAGCAACTCCCATGTTCTGTGAGGTAAAATTTCTGTTTGTGTGAATGGCTTTGAGCATAGAGGGATATAATTGCTTCAGTTTCCCACTGTAAAAGGCTGTCTGACAGCGAGGTAAAGCAGTGAAAATATTCTTAATGTAGCGTATCTGAGGTGGGCTGTTTTTATGAGGCTACAATACATGTCCACAGCAAACTGGGCGCACTGACCGCCATCTACTGCAGGTAACAGACACACTGACTATAGATACACTGTGTATCTAATACTTTCTTTGAAGAGCAACTTTAGCATCATGTGCACCATTTTACCTGAGAATCTCAAAACTGGCAAAGTCCCACTGGTACACTCCGAGGTCAGAGCTGCAGACGATGTAGCGTCCGTCAAACTGCAGGCGAGGCTGGAGGCTGATGCTGCGGTCCTCTGAAACCGACAGTGTCTTCAGACACTTGCAGTTTATTTCTCTCCCTAAAGGCCAGACCTGCAGAGGGGACACAGCTCCATCTTAGGGACTCTTCACATGCAGAGGACCACACAGGACAAACAATGCCAAAACAATCAGGAGGCAGACACCCTCTCCACATTTAAGAGTAGGCTTAAGACGTTCCTCTTTGATTAAACTTATAGTTAA